TTCCACCTTCTGTATCTCGGACTGTGGTAATCCAAACTATCACATATTTTCAGTGGATATGCTCTACTGGACTCTTACTTCACACACAAAATTTCAAGGCAATACCATCAAGAAAAACCTGAGGTATGACATCTCCAATTTTGATTGAATATCTTCCTTTTTTTTTCTTCGCACCAAAATTACGGAAACTTTATTTGATAGAAAACATACTTAACTTTTATGGATTTTTTTTCAAATGTCGTACACTGATAGATCTTTTCAAACTACAATTAGTAATCTCATTTGGTGTAAGTATAAGCCACATGTGTAGAGTTATTCAACAAAAACCGCTCAAACTTGACAAAAATGTTTGCGCATAACTACGCAAAAAGTCACGTGAGCTAGCAGTCTAACATTTTTACTACAACTTCACCTAAGAGTGAAAGTGGGCCGTTTTTAGTTTTTTTTCATTCGAATTAAAGACGGCTGATTTAGAGCAGCAAAACTATAATGTGAAAGGTTTGTTTGAAGTTAAGCACAAAGCTACACGAAGTGCTATCTGTGCTCTGCCCACCACGGGTATCGAAACCTGGTTTCTAGCGTTGTAAGTCCGCAGATATATCGCTGTGCCACTGGGGGGATAAGGTGAAAGGACGTTCAGATACATAAGTATTGGTTAGGCCAAGCTAACTAGATTAGCAGTTACTTGCTCAAGTTTTCAAAAGAATCATACAAGTGGACGGTTATTATTGATTATTCATTGCCAACTTTTCAGCACAAATTTTCTAAATTTTATGAGATTATTCTAATTAAAGAGCGTTTAGCGTCACATGATATTAGCTTTAGCAATTAGCGTAAATAGTAATGCTTGATACGTCTTTAACGATTGCATGGCCTGATGACTAGAAACTGTTAATCTAAATTCCATGGCGTTACTGTAAAGGAAGCTATTAATGAACACTGTTTTAGAGAGGAAAACCACCACCATATATTTTAAAGACTCTAAAGTAAAGGTTTGTTCCGAGTAATAGGGTTGCGATCCTAAAGCTAATGTGGGTTACTATCGAGTGTCACTTTATTACTTGCTGTGATTTGTTGGTGTGTATTGACATGAAGTCATGATATTTAATTAAAAACATCTTAGGTGTGAAAAAAGGTGCGGCCAAAAAGGATTAAGGTCGTACGCTCAATCCTTTTTTGGCCACACCTTTTTTTCACACCTAAGGTGTTTTGATTAGATATGTATATATATATTCTAAGAACCACGAGTGAAAGCAAAAGAGAATGTGTTATCATATGTTAACCATACTATATCTGCCATATCTAGTCCGACGAAGTCTTTCGTCCAATAGCATGGCTCTTTAGACTGGCTGGGATAAGACGATGTTGTAGTGGTTTAGGCACTATTTATATATATATCATCAATTTTCACGAACAACTATATATACGAATGACGACACATTCTAATTTCGTTTAAAAAAAAACAATTTATTTCAACGTACGAAAAACAATATTTACCATTATTCAAGTTGAACTGTATTCTACATATACAATCTTAAGTGTCGCCATCTAACAGTATGTATCTTTTACATCCTCAAATAGAGGTTGTTACAAGATATTGGAGTTTAAGAAATCAAATGCAGCTACGTATCGCACATCAGGTACAATAGATACTTCATTGTACTATAGTGCTTGAAATAATAATGTTTGTACAGTTTTTTTTACAATTGTATCATTAAAAAAAACTGTAACAAATCAATACAGTCTACATATCGTTCTGATAACTCTACACTTGATAGCAAACAAAACACCAAATTAATGCGTTAAGTAAAACAATTTGTGTTATACATATGACCAAATATGGTTATACATATAAAAGCAGATATCGTATAATATATTATATCACGTACTACTCTACCACCAATTTATCAGCTACCGCTAATCTCCTTAAAACACATTTAACTGTTTTAATAAATAATGTACGTTTTACATCAATACAGAAGCATCACTATAAAAGGTGAAAAAGCACTAAACTCTCGAACGCTTATTTTTAAATACAATTTGAACAAGAAGAATAACAGTAACAGTAAATTTGCAGTTCAAGTTAATCACTAGAAAGTAGAAACCAACACGAAAAATTACTTTTCAACGCAATATAAAATTTGTTCAAATTTGCTGTAAGTTTGACTATAAATATAAAATTAAAATTCTTAACCCTAAATATGTAACATTACAACAATGTACAGAAGAGCTTTGAAGTATTAATTTGTAGCTGGATAGAGATGTAGTAAAGAATAGAAGGTAGTTTACATATTGGTATACACATGAAAGGAAGGATCAAACAGATTCATTCACGCATATGTTCTAACAGTGAATAAAATGTGTAGTTATGGGTACATAGCATAGCCAAGAAGGAAGATTAGTAATTGTTTTAAAGTTACATAACAACAGCTGATCCGATTGTACATAGGTTAAGTATTTTTCATTAGAACAGTTTTGGAGCCTCACCACGTCGTCACAGTCCATGTCGACATGTACAGTCCTACTCTATCTGACGACCGTGAATCTTGCCATTAGTTCTACAGCGTAGTTTCATTGCAAAATACTTTATCGTAAGGCTATAATGTCGAAAGCACACTACTCCGCTCTACAGGGTTTTCATAATCCATCTATTGTACGGGAACGACGTTTCTCTACGTCAATTAGAACAGTCCGATCGCACAGAAGTCCTTTTACACTGCGTTCGACAAATTCTCCGGTATGTCTTTGTGTGGAATGACATGAATACCTGTTTCATTCTTCAGCTGCTTGAGTTATACGACAGTCGAACGGATATATCGTGGAAACAACTTATGTATACTTGACAGTGCCACTTTTTCAGGTGAAGATCCTTCTTGATTATGTTGGATACTGTTGCTTGGAGCACGTGGATGGCTTTTTCTATTGTTCTTTGTGTACATGGATTCACACGTGTTATAAGACGTTGTACTTGCTTTCAACGGCTAGAATACGACTTGTTGTCGTTCTCTTTTTGGATGGCTATAGTGCACATCACAGTTTTCATTCAGTTATTTTATAAAGACAACATTTTACAGGTTTGACAAACTCGCAATGAGTGGTTACAAGGAGATAGTAGAGAAGGGATTTATTCAAAGCTCTGTTTTTACAACTGAGTTTAGTGTACACATAGTACTGGAAAGAAGTGTCCTGATTCAGTAACAGTTATATGCTGACCTTTTTTGAGTTATAGGTATGTAGTGAAGGAGAGAGTATACGAATTCATTCACAGGTTTTCATTATGAATTCTGTTAGAAAAAAATGTTTCGGGTGTGTGCATTAGGTACACAGAAATGAGAGGGATAAATTGATCCATTCATATTTTGTTTGGAAACAGCTAATCATCGTCATGTGTTTATACGATAATATGGTATCCACGTTATACACAATCTGCAGTCGCTATGTATTATAGACAAGCGTGTTAAAAAATAAACGCAGACTTTATTTTGATAGTGTCTGGTTTAAGTGATTGATGCACGCACATTTCTTTTAATGTTGCTAACCGTTCACATTAACAAACAATCTCTGACTTAACGGTTAAACATATGAATATTTTGGTGGGTGGTGGGGTATTCCATCAGATGCGGAAATCCTCAAGCCTAAGAGTAGGGCACAATCCAGGGACCATTTGGTCGTATTGTTTCCTCTGATCCGAGTAGTCGTTAAGATGTTTCTATCCTACCAAAGAGAGCTCCAGTGGCACAGCGGTATGTCTGCAGTTACAACGCTAGAAACCGGTTTTCGATACCCATGGTAGGCAGAACACTGATAGCCCATTGTGTAGCTTTGTGCTTAATTACAAACAAATTAAACCCTACCAAAGAGGCCCACTCGCACGCTATGGTCATGATATTTCGCCATTATTTCAGTCCTCCTTTCTCTCCCTCTTATCCTTGTAATATTCTCGAACTTCACTCAGAAAACGTCTTCATATTTTCAATTCCTGACCTGATCTTGAATCGTTCTCCTTCCCTTCTGCTTTCATCCCCATTTGAGGGCAAGTTGTCAGATACATCTATACGTTTACCGCTTCTGTGCGTAGAAATGCTTCTTTTTTGGCGCTTGACAGCACTTCCTCCGCCAAAGCTTGTTTGACTTCTCGTATGGCTAACTTCTTGTGAGTAACTGGTGTGTCATCGTGATCGCATCTACACCTACTACGCTTGTAACACTTCGAACATTTTACTACCTTACATTTACAGGTTAGCTTTGAACCCGACCTATTTTCCAACTCGACAAAAATATGGTCACAGAAATTTTGTTTCGTTGTTTCAGTAATTCTCTACAGGTTTCACATAAAGTTTCGAAATGGTAAGTGTTTCATAGATAATGTACTACAACAATGTCATGACCTTTGCCTGAATTAGGGTCGAAATTACCCAATCTACTGAAAAAAAGAATAATAATTTTTTTTTAGATGTTATTCAATTATAGATCGGCGTACACCTCTGGATTTCTTATAAAATAATACATATTTCAGAAGAAAAATACCTAATGCTAGATATGGCTTCTACAAATTACCCTACCATTTCTGTTGCCGTTGATTCAGAGATTGTTTCTTAATAAGTAACAGAACATGTAAGAATCCGAATAACTAAAGATACAATTTCATAAAGGAGAATGTCTGTATATATCTCTGTGTATATATATATATATGTCTGTGTGTATATATATATACGTACATAATTTAATTTAATATTATAGAAAAGGGAAATAAAAACAAACAAGTAAATAAACAAATGAAAAATATACTTGAAAAACAAATAAATAAACGCAGCCGCAAAACGAACATCCAACACCAAGGCACAAATTATAGGCTGGGTCATAATGTAATGTGCATTGGTTTTTTTGATGGCGAAGTAACACCCAAATTGCATTGAGAGTACACTTTTTCTCCAGTTTAACCTCAACTTCTTGGTATTTATGTACAAACATCATATTGGGGGCTGAAATGTCTCCCCCATTGATGTTTTATCTTTCTTACATTTGTTTTTGATGTATCTATTTTTTTGTGAGCAAACACATTCCAATTTCTGGCTGCAAACAGCGAAAGATGGTAAAGATGTGGGATGTTGTGGGCTAGAGAACCCACATTTGCTCCTTTTCTTTTTTCTTCTAAGCATCTTACGCCAGCAAGGTTGAGATTAAACTGGATAGACGGTGTACCCCATTGTTTTAATTTTCAAGTATACTTTTCGTTTATTTGTTTACTTATTTATTTTTGCTTTTTCTCTTGTATAAAATTAAATTTAAGTATATTTGATCTAAGGTTTGGATAAGCTGTGTATACTTCACGCTATCCTTTCTCTTAATGTAATCTGTTTATATATATATATATATATTAGGTCGTCAATAAATTAATGTCGCTTTATTTTAGATGAAAAAACCCGAACAACTTATATAAAAACATTTATTAAATGAAATAGTCTCCATTCTGATCGATGATACTTTTCCATCTTACAATCAAGTTCTTAATGCCCGGATTAAAAAAAAATCACTTGGCTTTGAAGCAAAAACATGTCAATGTCCTCTTTAATACTTTCTACGTTTCAATACGTTTCCCCATTAAGATGGTGTTGCATCGAACGAAAAAGATGGTAATCTGATGGTGCCATATCTGGAGAATATGGTGGGTGGGGGAGAACTTCCCAACCCAACTCCATAATCTTGTGTTGCGTCAAACGTGCCACATGTGGACGTGCATTGTCGTGGAGAAGAAGAACACCTTTCCGATTGACGAGTGAAGGGCATCTCTGATGAAGGGATTGATTTAAACATTACAATTGCTGACTATAGATCTCTGCATTGACAGTTCGCTGTGGATTGAGGAGTTCGAAATGAATTACTACTTTGATGTCCCACCAAATGCAAAGCATCACTTTCTGCAGATGGAGTCCAGGTTTTGGGG